TGGTCAGGGACTCAAGAGAACAGACATGACCTAGCTTGGGGCGTTGGAGATGCGGTCTCCAGGTGAAAGCAGCATACTTCAATGTCAGCTGTTTTACATAAATGACTTGTATACTCAGAACCTGAGGGAGGAGTGAGTGGACATCTCTTCAAATCGTTGAGGTGAATGCTCAGTCGGAAATCATGGCTGGAACACAACTGCTTTCGCAAAATAAATATATTAGTATATGATGCTGCTCAGGATGTCAAGTTTTCAGCTTGCTACCAAATCTTATCTATGTCTACGGTAGCGGGCTCTGCCGCTCGCACGGCCCTACCGCCTTATTCCCGCTACCGTAGGTAGTGGGTCTTGGACCCCCCGGCCGTTCGCAGGTTTCCTGCGATCGTTTCAAGATCTACGCGATCTATTTGACACTATTTGGCTCTTAACCGTATATGGCGGACGGCAGGGCCGGCACACGGCTTTGGACCAATCAAAGATGGGGTCCTCAAAGGACCCCGATAGTAGGGCCACGTGGCATCTCTCTTTCCATTTTTAGCCGAGGTGGCGGATAGCTGGTCAAGGGACTGAAGAGAACAGGCATGACCTAGCTTGGGGCATTGGAGATGCGGTCTCCAGGTGAAAGCAGCATACTTCAATGTCAGCTGTTTCACCTAAATGACTTGTATACTCAGAACCTGAGGGAGGAGTGAGTGGACATCTCTTCAAATCGTTGAGGTGAATGCTCAGTCGGAAATAATGGCTGGAACACAACTGCTTTCGCAAAATAAATCTATCAGTATATGATGCTGCTCAAGTTCTCAGCTTGCTACCAAATCTTATCTATGTCTACGGTAGCGGGCTCTGCCGCTCGCACGGCCCTACCGCCTTATTGTGTGTCCAAAGGAGGCTACATCTGTCCATAGTCAAGTTGACGCGAATTAATCACGTGTCTACGAAGCGTCCTACGTCCAGGCAAGAACCCACCCCGAACTTCAGCCACACGCACGCTCTCTCTACACGTCCATGTTCCCATCGCTGCCCAGCTCCGCTGTTCGAATCACTTTTGATGACGATGCATACTGGAGGCCAAAGGAGCTTCGGATGACGAGTCCAAACTCAGGATATAGCCCGACCGCTATGGCGATAGACACCTCGGGCGAAATTCATCGTAACTCTCGTTCGGTTGTGTATCGCGGGCGAACACGAGAGACGAGTATGCCGGTCGTTCTCAAGTTCGCTCTCACAGCTAAGGCTCTGGAGGGTCTGCAAAAGGAGGCAGACCTGTATCAGAACCAACTTTCTCGCCTTCAGGGAACCGTAATCCCAACGTTCTATGGATTCTTCGAGGCGGTGCACGACGGATACCCTTTAGGCTGCCTGATTATGGAGGATTGCGGTGATCCCCCGGAAATCATATTCCCGTATTTACCTATGATCACGAGGTTTGTCTGCTGGTCTAGTGTTTGACAGTAACGATAGCTCATAAGTAGAGAGTCAGGATAACTATCCTACAACATCTGCAGGAAATTCACCGATGCGGTATAATACATGAAGATTTTCAAGAGCGCAATGTTGTACTCCGCGAAGGCAACCCTCGCATCATCGACTTTGACAGGGTGTCCCCACACAAAGGCGGGTGCACGATGAAGATACGTAAGCTTCCGTCGGTCCCTCACAACAGCGAGGTGGACTGCAATGATATCTTTTGCTACTGCCATGACTTTTTTATATGGGGCAGTACGTCTTTTAATGGATTGATGTCGGTAATTGCGCTCATCAGCTCTGCAGACTTTGTGGTCATTGGTAGGGTACCTTATCCCCCGGACGAATTCCCTCCGCAAGAAGCGATCGACATACTCGTTCCCCAAAAGACTATCTATTTTGACAACCAGGCGCAAGAGCGTCTTCTGTTTGATCGCCTCCGCCAGATCAAGGTGGAACTCGACAAGGACGTCCCATTGAAAGCCCTTGAACTTGACATCGTTTTCATCGCTTCGCGCCCTTTCCAGTCAGCCCTGCAATACCCACCTCAGGACGTCATCGATGTTCTGCTTCGCGGATTCCAGACATCTAACTCCACGCCTGAGCAAGTGGAGAGTGTCGCCAATGTTCTACGGGATGCGAAGCTTCCCCTGTCTAATGGCTCGGTATCGGTTGAGACGGTCAGGGAGAAAATCCGCGAGTGCCTTCACTATCTGAACCGCCACCGGGTTCTACGTGATGGATTGATTTTCTCAAGTTCACATTGATACTTCCTGTAGCCTGGTCTGACAACTTTCTGGGTTTTGCTTCGGAACTATTCTTCGAGCTTATGTATGTGTACGCTGTGTAATGTCTCTTTCCAAATGCATGCTTCATGTTGAGTCCACCCCGACTCCATCCCCGCACTCATTCGAATCCGGCCGTCTGATTCTGAGTCTGAGGCTCACCCCCGAGTCAGTGGACCAGCGGCTCGAACAGAGTGGCACGGTGCACGTGACATAGACGCGTGAAGTTCCGATTCGTCGCGTAACTCAGACTGCATGTCCACATGTCATTGACTTCCACGGTCCACATTTCCTTCAGTGACGATGCTCCCTGGAGGCCGAGAGAACTGAAGTTGACCGCTCTTCATAGGGGATCTACCATCGTCACCTTGACGGCGATAGACATCGACAATGAGATCCGGCGTAATTCTCGTTCAGTTGTCTACCGTGCACAGACATCAGATACGAACGAAAAGGTCGTCCTGAAGTTTGCTCGCACGAAGGAGGCTCTCGAGGAACTCCGCTCGGAGGTCGACGTGTACGAGAACCAACTGTCTAGCCTTCAGGGGACCATCATCCCAATCTTTCATGGGTTCTACGAGATGTTGTACAAAGATAACACGCTAGGTTGCCTGATTCTGGAAGACTGCGGGGAACCTCCAAGCGTCGTTTTCCCGTACCTGCCTATGATTACCAGGTTAGGCCGTCGAACAGTGTTGTACTACAGCAATATGTAATGATGAACATGGCAGGTTGACGATCCTACGGAAACTGCAGGAAATACACCGCTGCGGCATTATACACGAAGACTTTCGGGAACGCAATGTACTTCTTCGCGGTCGGGATGTTCGTATCATCGACTTCGGCCGAGTTTCCCCACACATGGGAGGTTGCACGATGGAGATACAAAGGCATACCCCACCCTGGGTGTCTCACATTGACATAGACTGTGATGACCTCTACATCTATTGCCAGGACTTCCACATCTGGAGTAGTAAGCACCTCCTGTTGCGCGGCGGTTTCGCCACTCATTGACTAGTCCTATAGAACAAGTGATTGTCGGGGAACTCCCCTGTTTGCCGGACGGCTTGCCACAACAAGAAGACATGGATGAGCTCATCCCCAGACGGTACATCTGCTTCGACAATCAGGACCAAAAACGGATGCTATTCGATCGCCTCTGCGAGATCAATACCGAGCTGGAACAGGGTGTTCCTATGCAAGACATTGAATTGGACATCGTGTTCATAGCGGAGCGACCCTTTCGACCGGCGTAAGACTACCCTTCTCAGGAATTCATCGATTCTTTGGAGCGTGATCTCTCCAGGCCCGCATGTCGGGGCACCGCGCAGCAGGTGGAGAGTATTGCGCACATTCTTCGGGAAGCAAAGCTGCCGCTATCTACTGGTTCCGTGACGAGAGAGGAGGTAGAGGCGAAGATTGGTGAGGCTCTGGATTACGGTAATAGCTACCGGGTACTGCGTGATACGTCAATGTTTTCTCACTAGTACTTGGGACCACTGAGGTAATGATTGAACCGTCTCGTAGTCTTTGGATATGAAGTACCTCATTGGCATGTATGGGTCCCGAACGAAGGGCTTCATATACCGACTTGCATAGCACGTTTGAAATTGATATCCCCCAGGTGTCGATGCTTTACGTGAAGAAGTCGAAGACCTTTTGATGCCAACGTTGACTAGGTTCGAATCCCTAAGGTATCCGGATCCGAGGTTCATGGTACGAGGGCGCATGGAGGACAACTCAGCGACTGAAATGGTCAGTTACCGCAGATAGGCAGTGAAGGCAGCAGTAGTCTTGTCGTCCTTCGCCAAAATACGATCAAATTGGTCATATACTGATACTTTTGCGGAAAGACAACTGTGAGTACACAGAGAGCAACGTCAGGATTAGGGCTCACTATCCCGACCTATAGAGAGAAACGAGAGGTACGTGGACCATCGAATCAGATGCATCCAGGGAGGCGAGACTTCACTCTCGACCTAATAGACGGATGATTATCAGAGATTGCGAGATCAAAATTGACCGATAAACGGACGATGCAACGGATCCAGTTGCGTAGTCGAGTCCATCACTCGGTCTTGGATAATGGAACGCTCCACGGGAGGGATGGTATCGGTCGATGTTGCAGTTCGCATCACCCGTGTGTCGACTGGGATCAGTTGATATTAGACATAGTTATTGCTGTCTCGCTCCTACCTGCTGGACCATAGTGTCAGCGCCCTACATGCCAGTTTAAGGATGCTCTCGTCCACCAATACTGCGTTGCGAGCCCCCGGTGAAGGACAGAACAGAGCGTCTCTGCAACATCTGTGAAGAAAGATTACCGGTTCCAGCCGTTCCAGGCAAAGATGGAGGAGTGGATATTATTGCCCAGCCGGAGAATGGCAGCGGCGCACGGAAGAGAGAGAGAGCAGTACTCCCGCTCTGCTGAGAGAAGAGCACATCGAGCACGGGCAGTGTGTTCCAAACCACCCGGGCTGGATGTGCACTTCTCTCGGCCCGCGGATGCCTTGGCTGCGAGCGGCAGGGGTCATATATGCGCACGGTGTCGTCTCCTTCTTACCTCCCAGGTAGCACCAAAGACAGAAGCCGTGACATCTAGGCGCATCATGCCGAGCGAGCGTTGTAGTGTTTACCAACTTACTGAAAGACGCCCAGATATGCAGGGTGGACTTGAAGCTTGGAGCTTGAAGTCTCGCTATATTAATTCATTCCTGAGTAACTCTGACACCCCCGCTGATTCGTGGAGAGCAGAGAGAGAGGTGTGCTTAATCCGGTAAAGCACAGGGTAAACCGGGAAATGAAAGTGATGTATTGACGAGTGTTCTATTTCTGAGCCAGTGCCAAACGTGGTATCCGATATTCATGGAAGGTTCAGCTTCAGGCGTTGACGCAAGAAGACTCTGAACTTACCATAGAAAGCGCTACGTCAATATACGGAATGTGTCTGACGTTCGGAGTACATCTGTGGTTCGGAGTAGCAGCTGCCAGAAACAGCAGGAGGATTGCTGCGACTTGCGCATCAGCATGATGCCATCCAGAGGGCTTGTCACCGGAGACAGCGGAGAAACCGTAAGTCATCTGGTCTGACGAAGCGCTGCGAACACGCACCTGCCATTCTTTCATTCCCAGCACCATTTGGACGGTAAGCTTCAGTTTGAGTTGACGGAATCGGGAATCCGAGAGGAGATCCGAAGAGAAGGGATTCTAATGCGGTGCGGGTAGCAGTGGCCTGAGTCGGATCGACATCATGGCTTGTCTTCCCAATCCCATGACTGTCGGAATCACAACACACTATATCAAACTACGAGTCTAGGCTCTACGCAGCATATGTCCTATGCTTCACGTTGGCTGTCTATACGCCTACCATTAGATCGTACTTGTCGTTCCGGACCCTTCGATTGCACTTGGAAGCTGCACGCCTGCTGGATTACTACGTATACATTATAAACGCTGAGGAAGGACGCACTTGCACCACAGGGTCCTGTCACTTTGTAGCATCACTGAGCGGTCTACATCCTACTTCACGTTTCTCCAGTCCAGACCGCGTCCAAAGTGGAGCCACGGAAAGCTTCCGTCGAGCTCGCAGTAGAGCGTACAGACTCATCCCAGACTCCCTCCGACGATCCTCGAAGCGGAGCTTGAATACCTTGCATAGCGCACCCTCTGTGGATCGGATGGATAGCTGAAATCCCCCAACCATAACACTGCTGTAAGTGAGTGCGTGTATACTTTGAAGTTGGAAAATTTGTACTTGGCCCTGCCCGAAACTCGCTCGCCACGATGCCATATTAGAGTGCTTCAATCTCCGCCGGGCAGCAAGATCTTATTGGGCGTCTGGGTACGAGATGAATGACGTTGCTGATCGTAACCCCGATCCATGCCCGATTAGACGATAAATCGTCAACGATTATAATCCATCCACGTGGGGCAATCACTTGTAAGAACGCAACGCGTCTTCATCCTACTTTCTACGTTTCTACATTTCGCACCTCCCCCGCACTTGCGCACGACCCGGTTCATCTCTGCTCGCACCGACCGGGATTTCTGCGTTTTATAATCGCCGACGGACCACCGCGAACCCGCCACAGTCCACCAAGCCACCGTGAACCGATTATAACCCTCAAAAACCACGATGTCGGTTTCCCCGTCTTCAACACCTTCGCCGCTCTGTTCGCCCTCCGAACCACTCCGTCCAACCCGAGTTCTGCTTTTACTCTCAACCCAAAACGCACCGCTCTCCGAACCGCCGGTCGGCGTGCCCGCCGCTGCCACAATTCGCGCAAATATCGGGCACGTCCTCGCCAAAGCGCGCTCGGTGCCCCCCGCCCAGCGCCCGCGCATCATCCACGTCCGCAACAACGGCGACGCGGGCGATCCCGACGAGCCGCACACGCGCGGGTGGCAGCTGCACTTCCCGCCCGCCGAGGACGAGTTCGTCGTCGACAAGAGCAAGAACAACGCCTTTGCCGGCACGCGCCTCGCGCAGCTCGTGCCCAAGGACGCCGAGATCGTCGTCGTCGGGATGCAGTCGGATTTCTGCGTGCGCGCGACGTGCTCGGCCGCGCTCGGGAGGGGGAACGAGGTGCTGCTCATCCGCGGCGCGCACGGGACGTATGACCGCTTGGAGGTGTTTGCGGGGGGAGGCATCACGCCCGCGAGCAAGATTGAGGCGGAGATCGAGGCAGAGCTCGAGGAGGCCGGCGTCGTTGTCCTGCAAATGGAGGATGTGCCGGGAATTTTTACCGATCGGTAGGGGGGCGTGGATAGTCCTGCCTTGGTTGGTTTAGGTAATATATTTTGGGGGTTTCCTTCCGTCTGCCGTTATTCATTTGGACGTTCATCATACGTTTACGCACCATTGTTTTGCATCAATATACAATGTAGAGTTGTATCGATAGGGTTGGTTTTGGGTTCGATTTTTATGTGGGTACGTGGTGCTACTCTGTCTGGTTCCGCGTTCCCTTTCTGAAGATGTTGCCATAACTCGCTCACAGGGCCGCATAGGCATTACTGTTACTTTGCCTGCATACACGACTTATTCTCATTATTGACTCGTGCTGAGTGTCGTTGATGGTCTCATTGTTGGATTTCAGACTTGCATGTAAGATCTTCCCTGCCGGCGGAACTGAACCGCAGCCGAGGCGGCTGTCGTTGAGGGTGATCATTTGTGAGTCTTTATTTCACCTAAGATGAGTACATAAGCTCGTGTGGTTCATCGCGAGCAGGAGTGCTGACTACAGTATCGCCGTGCGGAGTACCACAGAGCCAAGGGCGAGTCCAACTTGTTCGGAGGGGAAATGCCGCACCAAGAGTGCAGCTAGCCATCCCGACAAGCTATTTCCTGGCGAAGGACTACGAGATCCCTGCTGCATGTGGCAGCTTGTCATATTCAGCTGCTTCCGGCTCCACCGGGTGCCCTCGCAGGACGAAGCGCAGATAGCGTCAGATGCGCAGGGCATTTGAAGCTCGCGCGAAGACCGGAGTTCGCGTTGCCGTGAAAATCGATCGACGCTTCTTCGTCACCTGCGCGGTCAACGCTGGGGGACAAATGTACTTTCTTACATGTTCATCGTATGAAGGTCTACTTTCGGATGGTATACATACATGCAAGGACTGCAAGACAACTCAATCGCCATCTGGAGTGGGCTAAAGAACCAGGTGTACTAGTGAGAAAACATTGACGTATCACGCAGTACCCGGTAGCTGTTACTGTACTCCAGAGCCTCCCCAATCTTCGCGTCCACCTCCTCCCTCGTCACGGAACCGTTAGATAGCGGCAGCTTTGCTTCCCGGAAAATGTGTGCAATGCTCTCCACCTGCTGAGGGGTACCCCGATGTGCAGAGAGATCGCGCAGAAAAGAATCGATGACGTCTTGAGAAGGGTAATCCGACGCCGGTCGAAAGGGTCGCGCCGCTATGAACACAATGTCCAATACGATGTCTTGCACAGGAACACCCTGTTCCAGCTCGGTATTGATCTCTCGAAGGCGATCGTACAGCATCTGTTCTTGGTCCTGAGTGTCGAAACGGATATATCGTCTGGGGATGAGCTCATCCATGGCTTCTTGTTGTGGCAAGCCGTCCGGCAAACAGGGGAGTTCCCCGACAATCACTTGTTCTATAGGACTAGTCAATAAGCGGCGAAACCGCTGCGCAACAGGAGGTGCTTACTACTCCAGATGTGGAAGTCCTAGCAATAGATGTAGAGGTCATCACAGTCTATGGCAATGTGAGACACCCAGGGTGGGGTATGCCTTTGTATCTACATCGTGCAACCTCCCTTGTGTGGGGAAACTCGGCCGAAGTCGATGATACGAACATCCCGTCCGCGAAGAAGTACAGTGCGTTCCCGAAAGTCTTCGTGTATAATGCCGCAGCGGTGTATTTCCTGCAGTTTCCGTAGGATCGTCAACCTGCCATGTTCATCATTACATATTGCTGTAGTACAACACTGTTCGACGGCCTAACCTGGTAATCATAGGCAGGTACGGGAAAACGACGCTTGGAGGTTCCCCGCAGTCTTCCAAAATCAGGCAGCCTAGCGTGTTATCTTTGTACAACATCTCGTAGAACCCATGAAAGATTGGGATGGTGGTCCCCTGAAGGCTAGACAGTTGGTTCTCGTACACGTCAACCTCCGAGCGGAGTTCCTCGAGGGCCTCCTTCGTGCGAGCAAACTTCAGGACGACCTTTTCATTCGCATCTGATGTCTGTGCACGGTAGACAACTGAACGAGAATTACGCCGGATCTCATTGTCGATGTCTATCGCCGTCAAGGTGACGATGGTAGATCCCCTATGAAGAGCGGTCAACTTCAGTTCTTTCGGCCTCCAGGGAGCATCGTCACTGAAGGAAATGTGGACCGTGGAAGTCAATGACATGTGGACATGCAATTACGCGACGAATCGGAACTTCACGCGTCTATGTCACGTGCACCGTGACCACTGGGTTCAAGCCCCACTGACTCGGGGGTGAGCCTCAGACTCAGAATCAGACGGCCGGATTCGAATGACTGCGGGGATGGAGTCGGGGTGGACTCAACATGGAGCATGCATTTGGAAAGAGACATTACGCAGCGTACACATACATAAGCTCGAAGAATAATTCCGAAGCAAAACCCAGAAAGTTGTCAGACCAGGCTACAGGAAGTATCAATGTGAACTTGAGAAAATCAATCCATCACGTAGAACCCGGTGGCGGTTCAGATAGTGAAGGCACTCGCGGATTTTCTCCCTGACCGTCTCAACCGATAGTGAACCATTAGACAGGGGAAGCTTCGCATCCCGTAGAACATTGGCGACACTCTCCACTTGCTCAGGCGTGGAGTTAGATGTCTGGAATCCGCGAAGCAGAACATCGATGACGTCCTGAGGTGGGTATTGCAGGGCTGACTGGAAAGGGCGCGAAGCGATGAAAACGATGTCAAGTTCAAGGGCTTTCAATGGGACGTCCTTGTCGAGTTCCACCTTGATCTGGCGGAGGCGATCAAACAGAAGACGCTCTTGCGCCTGGTTGTCAAAATAGATAGTCTTTTGGGGAACGAGTATGTCGATCGCTTCTTGCGGAGGGAATTCGTCCGGGGGATAAGGTACCCTACCAATGACCACAAAGTCTGCAGAGCTGGTGAGCGCAAATACCGACTTTAATTCGTTCAAAGACGTACTGCCCCATATATGGAAGTCACAGCAGTAGCGGTAGATGTCGCTACAGTCCACTTCGCTGTTGTAAGGGTCCGACGGAAGCTTACGGATCTTCATCGTGCACCCGCCCTTGTGCGGGGACACCCTGTCGAAGTCGATAATGCGGGGGATCCCTTCGCGGAGTACGACATTGCGCTCTCGAAAATCTTCATGTATTATACCGCATCGGTGAATCTCTTGAAGATGTTGTAGTATAGTTATCCTGAATCGCTGATTATGAGCTACTGTTGCTGTAAAGTGCTAGACCAGCGGACAAACCTCGTGATCATAGGTAAATACGGGAATATGATTTCCGGGGGATCACCGCAATCCTCCAAAATCAGGCAGCCTAAAGAGCTACCGTCGTACACCGCCTCGAATATTCCATAGAATCTTGGGATCGCGGTTCCCTGAAGGCGAGAGAGTTGATTTTGATACAGGTCTGCCTCCTTTCGGAGATCCTCCAGCGCATTAGCTGTGGGAGCGAACTTGAGAACGAGCAGGGTTCTCGTGTCTCGTGTCTGTCCGCGATAGACAATTGACCGAGAGTTACGACGAATTTCGCCGGAAATGTCTATCGCCATAACGGTCGGGTTCGTGTATCCTGAGTGTGGGCCTGTCATCCGAAGCTGCTTTGGCCTCCAGTATGCATCGTCATCAAACGTAATGTGAACAGCGGACATGGACAGCGATGCGAGCATGAACGCTCCTACAGCGCCGCGGCGTGCGTGTGGTTGAAGTTCAACGTTGGTTCCTGCTTCAAGCTTGGACCTACTAATAGTAAGGTGTTTTCGAACAATAGGACACATCCTAGTCGCGTGATTGGAACCTATAATTAAAAGGAGTTGTAGGAGGCAGAATTGTTTTTTGGGATGTAGTGCGAAATAAGATACTTAAACAGTGGTCCGTTTGCACTCCGGGAGTTACACTCTTTTGGGCCTAGCAAAATATTGTATGGTAGGAATATATGAAAGATTGGCTTTTGTAAATGATTTTGGGGCTCACAAAAGATAATCTTTAATGAGAATTTCGAAGCTTGTGATATATATTTTCAGCAGTATTATCTTTGTTGATACATTATAATTGAATCCCTTCTGACACTGGAGGATTTGTAATCTTTAGGGCTGGGCAGAAGGTTGTATAAAAGGGAATTCCACAGCTCTGATTGGCTGGCAATTCTCTTTTATACAACCTTCTGCACAGCCCTAAAGATTACAAATCCTCCAGTGTCAGAAGGGATTCAATTATAATGTATCAACAAAGATAATACTGCTGAAAATATATATCACAAGCTTCGAAATTCTCATTAAAGATTATCTTTTGTGAGCCCCAAAATCATTTACAAAAGCCAATCTTTCATATATTCCTACCATACGATCTTTTGCTAGGCCCAAAAGAGTGTAACTCCCGTAGTGTTGGGTGCTTTCTGCCGTGCGCGCACGTGAAGGCCCCCTGAAAACTTGTCAGTAGAGGGCCATTGCTATGCATGGCAGGACACGAGTCCTAAGTTGTGTCTGATAAGTGTTAGCATTGGGTGTATAAATGTTCCAATTGATGTATACAGTACTCTTTCTTATGCACATATTGAAATCCCTTAGATCTGGATCTGCAAGGTCCCCTTCATTCATACTTTCAAGTTGTCCCCCTGTGGCTCTGCCATCATTGTAAGATAAAAGTCCCTGCCTCTGACAGATTAAAAGTTGGTCTGTATTGGTGGCTACAAAAAGTCTACAAAATTGTATTTGTACCCAGCCCAAGGGACAGTAGTAGCTGCACTACTAGACACAAATAACATAGATCAAAGTGTTCCTCTGCTGCCAATCAAAGATTGGCAGCTCTGTGACACAGGTCTTTTGTCCCCAGTGGAAGAGATAGTCAATAATTATTACCTGCAGACTCCAGGTAACATCCTACCAGAACCAGAGTGCTCATCCACTGCCAATCTTCGATTGGCAGCTCCCTCGCATTCATTTTCCCAAACCAAGCTGAAGGACGGTGATAAGCCTCAGGGTCGTCTGACCCCCGAAAACGAGGACTTAGCACGTCGTACAAGCCCCCCCGGAGCTTATTCGACATAGCGCTGATATGCACTGACACACAACAATCACCAAGGACCAAAAGGAATAAACCTAAACCCCGTGATATGGGTGAAGGCGGTCCGAGACAACTGAAGGGTATTTAATAGTTCGAGTGGGAAAGGAGGAGTAAGACGCCGTAGGGTAGTCCGTAGGAAGACCTAGAAAAATAAAACAAAACCTTGACGCCTGAAACAAACACTAAGGGACGCTCCGGCGTATTTATCTCCGGAAAATCGCAGACAAAGTCACAAACCATGAAACCGAGTGTAGGTTCGGGCCCACGGGAGTAGAAATTGCTAGAGAAACTTGGTTAATTTTATTTCGCTATGTGAGACTCACCGGAGCTAATTGAATCGATGGCGGAGATAATTCACTCGATGAGTCAGGCCTATTGGCAAAGCTAGGATCGGTTATAATTCGCTAGGTTCGACGCTTTCGAACTTCTCGGGTCGCTGAGATCGTAACACTAATTCTCTGAGATGGTGAAGTCGAAACTTGTTTTTTCTGTATGCTACTTTGTACAATTTATACTACAGGAATGGCTTTGCGACCGTTCGGAGATAAATAACAAATAAACACTGCTACCCACAGGATTGCTCAGCACTTTCCTCCGCTATACCATATACCATACGACTCTCTTGCGCTCCCACTTGCTCTTTCCAGCCCCCTATAGGTCGCCTCGACG